AAAGAATTCAATTTCAGAGATGATGCAACGGTTCCATGAAGATATACATGGTTGAGTCAGTTTGAGTCCACTGCAGACGAGTCTCAAACATGAGCGTCTTGGATCAAAGCTTCTGCATTGCGTTACACTTTTTGTTCTATATTTATCTGAAGACTATTGAAAAATGTATACCTTTGCTATTATGATGGATAGCCTATGAAGCAATGGCGTCCTTGATTGGTGGTCATCTGAGTGCCACGGTGGAGGATAAATGCTTCGCTCTTGTTCTCCTTGCAGACTGCCAGGGCCGAAGCTCAAGGGTCGAGACCGGTAAACGCCTATCCTCTTCCTCTTCCATACCCACTTCCTTATCATCCTCAACTTTGTCTTCCAATAACAGCAAGCGACCTTCTCCTTCCCTAACTTCCTCGTCCCACCACAGTAGCAGCAACAGCAGCCCTCGCTCTCATCTTCCCCATCACCACCATCGCCACCTGTCCCACCATCACCACCTCCATTACCACCAGCCTCCCCACCACCCAGCGGCGGCTTATGCTTCCAGCTACTCCCCGTACCCAGGAGTGCATCCCCACCATGCTCCTCCAGGCGGTCTAAACCAGGGCCACTGTATGGCATCGGGCCCGGCACCACAGACCCCTCCCCACTACGGAACCAGCTATCTAGGTTCTGCTTCAAGCCATCACCACCACTTTGTTCAGCCTAGTTCTACTCCACTCTTCTCGCCCTACAATAGATAGTGAGTCCATATCTAATTCTACCGCTACCTACTGATCCATGCCGAAGCATCCCTCGCTCAACTTATTAGCTGGGCCTTCTTATTGTGTATGAGTTTATCGGTGTATACAGCAGTCCGATACCCTACTCCACTCGATGCAATGTTTCCATGCCTGCGAGTGGACTGTTGGTCTGCATGGACAAGCCCTGAATGACCTTTCCAGTTTTTATGTATACCACCAGCAAATGACTGCGTTAGGTCAAGTTATAGAAATGTGTCGAGATCGACCCGCTTACCGAGCGCTGCCCATGATCACCACACCACGCAATATTTATTCCGAACACGAACTCATTATTCCACCCTGGATGCACTGTGGTTAGTTGTGTCCTGAGTAGCGCGTTACTCAGGAGCATCTGACGGCAGTGACGTTTCAGGGCAATCATTTAGGCCACTTTTGAACACAACACAAACAACACCGGCGATCTGGGCTGCAGCGCTCTCCCTGTAATCCTACCTTCAATGTGTTTTGGCATTTGCTTTTGGTTGTTGTTTCCAAGTTTGCGATTTTGGATGACAAGTGCTGCAACCATTAATTATCGGTTCTGTCACTTGTGAATCCTACCCGTTTGGAATCTTGATTTGATATAAGCCCAAAATTTTATCGTGTTCTCTTCATGGAATACGGTATGAATTTTTCTTGTTTGAACTGCTAAAAAAAATGTTGCTTACCTAATATTCACAATACCTTGACTTAGTTGAAACCCACGTTAATATTAGTATAAAAATTAACATGCCATTAGTTTTATCCAAAGGTAAATATTTGTTTGATTTCGTTTACGTTTGTTCGCCCTCATCCTCTCTCTGCCCTGACGCATCTCGCTCATTGGTCACGAGAAAAGCGTTAGATGCCCTTCTTCAGATCAGAGGCTCATAAATAATAGAGAAAGCGTTACTTTATAGCCGAGACCAAAGACCATATCAGAAATCTATGGCTAGTCAATAATGTTTGTGAAAGGTGCAGCCAAAAGACACACGGGATACGGCATTCTTCGTCGTGTCCGTATCTGTGTCGGTTTAGAGGCATTTTTGTGTCGAACATTTCATCGCGATTGGCAATAGTGGCTGGGTGCTAAGTATAACCCATGGCATCAATGGTCTGATGCCATCAAACCATTGATGAAATAATGCATCATCGAAACACTTAATTAAAGCTTTGGTGCTGCCTTGCCATTTGTTCGATAGTATGAATGTTCTGCTGCCTGGAAATCATTATTAAACCTTTATTTTTACCATGTTTTTTCTTATGCATTATCAGATGTGCATGGTTTTAAAATGAAGACATATATTTTAATATGTCTATCTACGTGCATGCCTAAATTAAGTAATTGCATGTTTTCCACATTCCCACATGTCTCGCTTTATCCCAACTCAGCATCTTGATCCCTTTTGTAAAATTAAGTTTTCTTTTCTCTATTATTGCTGTACATTTTATTTTCTAACCCACTAACCCATGTCAGTGCTCTTTGTTTGATTGGAAATATTTCTAAAAAAATAGCTGTTGTTTTTATAAAATTTATAAAAGAAACTATGCGCTTGGACTCAATTTTTCTCTCACTTAACGAGACGGCTTGACATGACGTCATTCACGTTCTCTTGGAACTGATTATAATATTATTTAAGCATTCGTGGCTGTGCCCAAACTCGTTCAATTAAAAACACGGTTCACTTACGATCAGGACAGGGTTGTAGCCAGGTTGCAACCTGCCTTTTACGGTTACAGCTCTCAATATGGTTGCTGAAAGACTTGCAAGGCGAAGGTAGTATGCCTCGCACCGCAACCCCAAACCTTCCCTAAAGATGCACTCTGGCAGGCCAGCGTCTCCCCAACTGTTTGCGCGTGCCCCGATCCATACTCCCCGAGCTTTGGGGCTTCGATCTCCTTAAGCACCTCCCACTGACCGCCTACTCATCCCCAATGCTAGGGAACCACGCTTCGTCTTCCCCAGCTTATTTTTCTCATCAAAATCTGTAATTTAGCTCTAGACAGCGTTTTCAAGCTTTATCTTGGTCAGATTTATGAGAAAATCTTCGGTGCATCGTTTGCGCTCTATCTTCACATTTAAAAAATTCATCTTAGTCATGATTCTGATCATTGCAATACTAAAAAAAATGATTAAATTTCTTAACATAGTGTGGGAGATTAGCGAATTTTTAGTTTCGTCTTGAAATGAAACGAGATAGACTTTTTCAAATGAAAAGATCAACCCTTTCAATCATTGATTTGACTAAAATTTTCAAAAATTCATGTTTCAATAACATAACCACATAAAGCTTCTGATTTTTCGACGCTTGTGTTTCAGCTTACAATTTTTAATGATTCTCAAAATAATTAATTCTTCATCAAAAATGTGTATTTAAATAAAATCCTGAAAGAATGGGTTCTTGGAATAATATTCCGGATTTACAATCTTAAGATCAATATCGTTGCTCTTCTTGTTGCAAAAATGATCTTAGTGAAGCAATTGATCCCCAACTGACATGTTTTGAAATCGGTTTCTTCAATCCAAAATAAAAATGGAACATATCAACTACTCACAGTTGTTCTTGTAATATACCATACCAATTATATCATTTCCAGCATCTTCGACATCATTTACGTTATTATACGTTTTACGTCTTGGTTTTTATTCCTATTCTATATTTTTCGGAGAAATAACTGCAAATAATTTTATTGTATTGTATTTGATGCTTCATCAAAGCTGCCAGAAGCCTGATTCTTGCCGCAGGCAGCTCCAGCTCTCAGACTCTGATCTGATCTGGCAAGAAAAGATCACTTCTACAAACCTAGATGATCTCTAGGTTAGGAGTTAAGGTTTATTTGCTCCTTTGTTTGAAATGTGAACCGTCAAGCTCCAACCAAGGACTTGTGAATTTAGCAAATCAGAAAGCTTACTCTTTGAAGCATTTTTATTCATTTTTTTAAGCATTTTACTGCAGAAGTCACAAAATGCATTAGTAACTTTGTACTCATAGCTTATTGATACGTGAAAAGTCTCTTCGTAAATATCACTTTAAAAATATGAATATTTGTTAATTTTGTTTATTTTTGCCTTGTTTTTATTTTATTTTACGTGAAGCCGAGTCTTCCTGTTCATTGATGCTCTTTTTGCCTTTTCCAGGCTCAATCACCTGACGATTTTTTACCCAAAGTTGAGCGTGAGGTTTTTCTCAGTGTTTGGTTTAGAGGGTCTCCCTAACTAGCCGGTAAACAGTTCACTGCAGCTTCCTGATCGAAGCTTCCCTCGTATCCCTCCAACACACACGGCACTTCCCTCTGCCTTGCGGGAACATGTGATATATGCTTAAGAAGGCGCACGTTTCTCTCAACTTACGTGTGTGAAGAAAGTTATACATTGGTTAATCAATTCACTTATAAACCAAACTACTATGCTCGACCTAGTTTTTGCATTTATCCTGATTGAAAATATTCAACGCCAACATATTTCGTCCAATTGAGGACTCTATTTTCAGTACGGTAAAAATTTCTACCGGTATAAGGTCGTTATTTCCACGAATGTTGGGGAGACAAACAAACAACGATTTGTTTTCAATGTCGTTCTTTCGGCACTAACCAAACAGTCTTATTGAAGTGTTAATCTTACCTGTGCATAGTATGCATTATGAGTTTTTTGTAGGATTTTAATTTCTGCCCCTTATTCCTCAGACACGAAGGATTTTGATTTATCTTTTTGTTAATTTCTTTTGTAGTGCAGGGGCGGGATAACTCATCCATTAGATATTGTTTCTCAATTTGCTACCTCAACCATGTAAAACCGTTGATAATTTCCATTGTCGCTATAATTTCATGTATTTTATTGTCCTTCAAACCTGCATGGCTGTCCTCGCATGATGTGCACTTAGCCAAGGTTCTATGCCGGTTTTCACCAATAAGTTGTCCTACATCTTACCTGCACAATATGCCTTTGCACAATGGTATAAAAATATGCACCAAATGTATATTTTTATTCTTGTTATTTTTTATCGTATCAAAAATACTTTTTCGACTCTTTTATGACTCAAATATTTTCCATAAATTACATTATGACAACCAAATGTAAGTGTTTTTATTCGCAATGGAAATGTGTTCTAATCCTATTCTTTTTTCCTCATCTCTAGAAAAAAATATCAATTTGAGAGGTTTTATATTATAAAATAAAATTGTATACTAAATTAATAACATAATTGTACTATTGCATTTCTCAGAAATTTTGTGTTTCTTTTTCAGGTACGTGCAGCCCTTCAGAATTCGACCAATACTGCCTGCCACAAACCCACCACCCTCAGCTTGCTCCCCAGCAACAGCAGCAACAGCAGCAATGCTTCTCAGAACCTCCGACGCCGCCTAAGACAAGTACAAAAGAAATATAACTCAATACACGTGATCTTAAATGTGCTGATGGTGCTTTTCGCACACTCAGCGAGCTACCAAATATTTCTTTGAGACTCTAAGCAAATAACGAGATGAATGTAAACGAATTGAGGGCGTCTGCTCCTATGTGAAGACTGAATTGCTATGGTCTAAAATACAATTTTCGTTACAGGCTAAATGTGCTCTTATCAAATAATTGTCAAACATTTTGAATTCGAGAGACGCAAATCGAGAATTTCTTCGAATAAATCCGATTGTGTTAACGTTATTGACTCGAAATAATTTCCATGTAATTTTAATCAAATTGATCGTAATGAAATTTCTGCATAAAGTAAAGTAAATCAAGACGCGTGTATATTAACTGGGCGGTGTATCGGAAGTTTTGACTGCTGCTTGACTGTTGTTCTTATAACCACCCTCGTTTTCGTGATTCCGTTACAATTCCTTACTTGTTATAAAAAAGTTTGAGTTTGGCACCTGCATACTTACATCAACATAGCAACGTAGAGAATGTCATCATCCACTAATTTTTAACGCCTTTTACCGCGTGTTGTGTACATAAAATGATACATAAATGAATATTGTTCACATACAATTCTTAAAATCAGAAGTTTTAATGTTTTTGAATTTTTCATTTTTAATATCGCAACGACTTTTGCGAATTTTACAAATGAATCAGTTTTCCCAAGACTTTTCTTTTGCCTTCATTCGTTTACATTGTGTTTTTATTTGTTTGTGCTCTCATTTACAGGATTCATACTTTAATTTAATCCTTTGCTATTCCTAAAATTATGCAATTTGATTAGAATTTTGTCTTCGATTATAAGTTCAGCTTTATTTTATACGCAACTGTGTTATAGATATTAATTGCCTAACACATCTAATTTTTATCTTTCAATTCTATTCGGTTCAAAAAAGGGAACGTGACCTCCGCTTTAAAGACCTTAGCAATAGCTATGTTGCATGTCCTCATGAAAGTCTGACCTCATGCACCTAGTCTGCATTTGAAATTAAACTTTCAATTCGTTAAAACCATTACGATTTTCGATTTTTCAAATTATTTAAAACAATTTTGCACTTGAATGAATCTGAGTGCCATGAATCCACTTTTAATTGTCAAAGCAATCATCCCAGTCCAAGTTTGAGAGTTTTATATTTGATTAATACCTAATGATCACCCAGGCACTAGACGTGGCGCAAGTTTGGTTTCAAAAGAGAACATTTCAGTGCATGTGGGTGTGCTAGAGTTCAGTTAGTGTTGCATGCAATCTCCATAAGAGCTCCTCACGTTTAGTGATCCTGTAGATGAGAAGTTTCTTGCTAGGGTAGCTTACACTGATGCTTTCGGTGAGTAAAACTTTTTAACATGCATTAAATGTAAGTGTTTATTATATATCATTTATTTTTTTCTCGTCTCTGGTGAGTATTGAAGTAAAATTAGAAAAATAACTACTTAATCTAGGAAGACATAATTTATCTTCAGGTGGTGCAAAAATTTGTTTTTAATCTAGTCATATTTACCTAGATACATAAGTGTTTCGTAAAAGCATTGAAGAATTTTCCGACTCGTATGACTTATTGTTGACAGTCATAGAATACGTAAAACACAGCGAGAAAGATAATCGTCGAACTTTTCTAGGCACATTTGGTAAAAGCAGTGTGCTGGCGTTCCATATCTTATTTCACTTTAGCATGGCAAATTTGTATATTTTTCCAAAGTTACTCGGTTCTGGTTATTATGTTCTCAGAATTCTCAATTAAACAGAGCCCGCAAGCAATGTTATAGCAGAAAATATGACACTTCGTTCAGAACTTGACATAAAAAATTATTTTTCGAAATTGGTCCACATGAGCAAGTCGCTTCCCTAAACCACTTTTTTTTTAAAGTCGCGGCAGAATAAATCGCTCCGTGAGCCCGAACTTGATGCGATCGCCCATCCAAAGATAAAAAAGCGCGGATAATGGCCGGGCTTAAGGCTTTGTAAAGTATTTGACTCTTCTGCAGAGTTGGGGTCGCCATATTTATAAGGCACCCGAGAAATTTATCGCGTGGATATGATAATATTGCTTTATGGCTACTGCCGCTCCAGCGCAAACCGATCCACAACCCCAGGGATCGTCCATTCTAGCACACCCGGTTCACGGGAAGGCGGCTTCAAGACAGATTGAATCATGTCTATACACATTATTTAGTGAACGCATTCATTCACATCGGATCCATTCACATGTACGATTTTGTGTCGGATTCACGCATTTTTCACCACAAATTGATTCTTTCGTTGACCCATGGGTATCCGAGTATAGCGTCAATTTTGTTGAGCATTTCTGCTCAAAATATCGTCAAAATATCTTGTCACGAGTGTGTAAACGTTACCATCCTTTTTGTCTCGTATTTTTGCTCATTTGATAAGCTTTGAAGGCGCAGGTTCCTCAAGTTTTACGGCATGAGATTCGTCTAATGATTTATAACCCTACTTAAATTCTTTGAGACCTTCCTCAATTCCCCAAATCCCCGAAACGTCGAAGCGATTCCATAAAAAAATTTCTTCATTCTTTTAACTGAAGATAACGGTCAATGATTTTAAATTCCCCCATCCAACTACGAACGATGGCGAGGATTTGGCCTCGTGGTGGGGCCGCTGTGTGTTTTTATCGAAACCGTCAATTAAAATATAGCACGAGTTCGCTACGCCTCGGCGCAATATGTACTAGTCGATCCAAACGGCTAAAAATAGAAATGCTCCTGCTTCCTGTTAATTAAAACCTGCGCGAGAAAACACCCAAAAACTTGGAGTGTTTGTCACAAGCATTTCCTAGCTGATTATTATGAAGACATTTAATTTCGGGAGCTCATTTATGAGCTGCTTCCTGCGTGGTCACATCTCTCCTGCCAAAGTGCCAGTCAATCAAGCTACTCCGGTGATACCATCGCTCTCCTGTAGGAGGCTCAGCTTCTTCGTGGGTGTGACGCATGTAAACGGTCGCTAGACTGTAACAGCTATTTTATTAGAATTGTTAACGCATCGCTACTGGAAAAATATATCAGTGCGAATCTTTAAAGAATATGCCGTTCTAACAAAAGAAACTGTAGATTTTCAATTTTGCGGTCCGCTGGTTTAGCCACAATTCAGCAATGTAGCCGGCTATAATGCACTGAATTTAAGTAAATAGTTCGCAACTGGTAATTTTTAAAAATATTTCGTAACTGGTCCCTGAAGTAAAAATTTCAGGGGGTAAAAAAGCACTTGCTGCAAAAGCCTCACAGAACGCATCTGACTATAATTATTTTTTATACCGCCAGCAATGATTCCATGAGCGCTGTGAAGGACTTCGTCACAGATGCACTACAAATTTTGTTAGTCTCCCCTCGATTATCTTGTTTCGAAAAATTTCTCAAATACTTATTGAAGTTTGAAAGTAAAGTTTAAGTATATTTTATGTTTTTTTTTTAAAAGAGCATTGTTGATGGTTGTGGCAGGCCCATGTTTGCCGGAGTTTAGGCCTATCGAGGACCATCAGTCGGAAGGCTAAGCAGCTTCGTTTGACGCCTTCGCGGCTCTCATTAGGGCACTCGACCCCCGGCTAATGGGATGCACAACCAAGTCCCGCCCTGGGCCACGTAATTGTGGTCTTGTTAAGCCTAACCTGCTTACTGCTGCTGCAGCAGACTGCCAAGAAGGGAGAAATGGACGTAAATGTACGAGTTTTACTGACGGCAGTCTACGGACTGTCAAGCTTCTCATTTCCAGTTCGTTGTGCTATGTACGCAAGATTATTATTTTGACAAAGAATAAATAATTTCTGCGGTTCTAAATTTATTTAAGAAGCCGCTATTGCAATGTTATTATTTGCTTAAAGCACTATCGTTTTCTAACGACAAAGTAGGTTAATTGTCATTCAAGCTTTGTTTAAAAAGCAGTACCTACAAATATTATACCTACCCCCACTGCACAGAAAAAGCCTATCCCGATGTTCAAGTAACGTTGGTGCTCCACAGGCTGCATCTCGTTATCAGCATTTCGATTTTCATTGGCTAGAAAATCTATTTTTGGTTATGTCCGATTTTCCCATATTCCTTGACCTTCATTCCTGCTTCTGTGTCAATTGGAAAATGGAGGAGGAGACGAGATGGAAACGGGGAAGAGAAAAGGACTATCGGTTTATCGGGCTCTTAGTGATTTCTAATAACAGACTCTGCTTTAAAATAAGCCCATATTGAGTGGCCAGATGCGGTTCTACCTTTTCTTAGGAAGAAAATCATTTATATCAAATGAAGAGTTCAACCATCACTAAATACAAAAATGTTGTGGTGATATTAAGTAATATTTATGTGGCTAGCAAGTTTTAAATTATCAAGTGACTTGTTAGTTGGTAACGGGTTAACTAGTGCTGATCCATCCTCTAGGCACAAGCGTTTTCTAGTGTATTTTGTGTTTGAAATTCATTTGTGAGGTTTATTGAAAAATTTGGAATGTAGATATTTTTCTATTTTAAGAAAACAGCTGGCATTGGTTTCATCAGCTGGTTCCTATGTTTAGCGTATTGATGGTATAGGAAATCAGGTATCCAAGATTGGACGAGCGATATCGGTTTATTGGGAACCATCGAACAGTTTTATCGGGGCAACCACGTGTCCGGACGTGGCATTCCTCCGTCTGAGGTGCGGTCAATTCGCTAGTGCGGAACTCGAAGCTTTATCGTCGAGATGTGCGTATGCGAGTCTCCTGCTGTGGCTTGATTCAAAACTGTGCTCAATTAAGTGATCCCTGCACTAAGTGGAGGTGCTCGTACTATATAGAACATGTGCTCAAGCGCAGTCAGGAGGCAGGGACACTTGCTGTGCTAGTCGAGATGTAGCTATGTCATTTTCCTACTACGTGTCGGAAGAGTGGTTTTATTTTTGAAAAACTATTGTGAATGTCTTCGTGATGTGCAAATGGTTCAAACCTTTTGATACATAACTGAATTTGAGAGTCCTGGAA